AACACGAAAGCTCTTATTGGTTTATTATATAGAGAGATGTCAGTAAGGAAGGTAGTCAATTATTTATTGATAATATTAATTATTAGAAACTCAACGACTTATGATGCAACGTGTAATAACGATAAAGAAATGTTACGAGGTTCTGAAATTAATTATTCATTAATTAATAGGCTTCAATAACACTAGGATAATTGTATGGTACATACAGTAAAACTTTTTTTCTTTGTACTGTTATATGAAAATGTACTATTTTATAGGGTTGTGATGTCATGAATTTAATATTTTAATTAATTGTGAAATTTGACAATGATCTTTGTTGTCAAAATTTTAACTAGATCGGTTGAGTATTTTTCACGGTTAGCGATCAAATTGGTTTTTGCGACTTTGCTGTATGTATCAGTAAGCCTATATTGCATACAAATTGGTGTCCTAAATTTTTTAGTGCTCATGTGCGAATTTATACCACTAAACTTATGCGGGAAAAGCGCACATCGCAGAATAGCAGAAATTAGAATCAGCTATTGCAAAAATACGTTTCGCTTGATTGAGGAAATGAGACCTGAAACTTGGTATAAAAATCCACTGTAATCATTACAATAAGTATAGAAAATAGGATACAGGTGTGCTTGAGACACTCGCTGCGCTCTATAAATAGTTCCTAATAGGACGGCAGGGGGAGGGGGACTTTGCAAGGGGCCTGCACGAAAGACTCGCATACTTGGGGAAAAGGAGGGTGATTACAGAGAAAACAGAATAAGGGTGGTAGAAATTAGGTTACAACAACGTCAACAGATACTATTTACAAAAGTTGTTGGCAATAAGTTACAAAGGGGTGAATCAAGATGTACAAAGGTGCAGAATTAGAAATGTAAGTATTTAGAGAAAAAAATAAGTTATGATAAAATTTTCAAGTAACAGCAATAAAAAGTAAGATGCTTATAAGGATAAAACAATAACAAAAAATTATGATGCAAATCATAAATCGAAAAAATGTATATATAAACAAAATAATTTATGCATAAACAAAATAAGAAACAAAAACAAAGCTAAAAAAACATAATTAAAATAATAACATAGTTGCGATGGAAGTCATTACGATGTTCAGTATTGTTTTTTAGCTGCAGTCATACGTAGATGCAGATAAAATACAGCCAAGTAACTAAGGATTTAGAATTGAATATTGTAGTGTTGGTGCGTTAGACATGATATAACTTAACATGTGTCAGATGTAAGGCAGACGTGCGCGGGCGTAGAGTATGAGTGTGTAAGTGAAAAACGTGGTTTAAAGCATTATATGCAGCGTTTGAGCGCCAGAATACTAACAGAAGCCAACAAGGTACACTCGATAGGTTAAACATTGTACTCATATTACTAATCGACTTACTGTTTATTGTATCAATACGCAATAACAAACGTAACTGTTGGCAACTAGGATGAAATACAATAAACTTACAAGGAAAAAAGAATATTACAGTTCATTACAAGGTAGACGTTTTTAGCTGTGAGTATTTTGATCTAAATGAGGTGAACGCGTTTAGTTGAGAGTGATAGATAGAGAGCAACATTATTCAAAGCGCTACGAAGCAAACACGTTGGTTCAAATGAATTCTTTACAAGAAATTTCTAAAGCTAGTATACAGCTACATAAACAAACAAAGATAATACAGACAACAAATATACGCCCCAGTGCGAACATTTATATCAAGCTTGAATCAGACGATTGGAAATCGTATGCTGTACTTTGCAAAGAAAATTGAAGCAGCCAAAATTAAAAGAGCCGTTCACTTACGTCAACGAAGAAGCACATAAGCTATTCAAAAACTTGCCTGCCCAGATAAACCACCAGAAAAAATTTACACAGACCTAGTTCAATTGCTTCATAACCATTTGAAGCCATTACCATCTAAAGTAATGATACGTTGTTCTGTTCATCGTGCAGTGCAGGCTCCAAGCCAATCAATTGCAGTTTTCGCAACACGACTTAGACAGCTGACACTTAACTAGAATTTATATGACCTTCAGCAACGCATCGAGAAACCAGTTCGTTTCTAATATGTACTATAAAACTACAAGAATTGAACTTTTAAACAAATAATTATTACGTTTAGTGGTGCAATTAAAGAGGCAGCCACGAGGGAATTTACCATGAAAAATGCTGCAGAAGTCAATCAGGCATTTATTTTTAAAAACTACAAGCAATATAACTTCACGATGGATCAAGCAATAAATCGCAAAAAGGAACTTAAGCAAAACACAAAGTGAGGGGAGGAAATACAGGACACAAGGACCAGTGGTGGAAAAAAAGCCGGCAACATAGAAGTTTTAATAAATGCTATATCTACAAAGAGAGAGCGAGTACACAACTAAAAATTGAAGATTTCGTGACAAGAAATGCAAGTCTTGCAACATTTTAGGACATCTAAAACATATATGCTTAAAAAAGAAAACTCATCTAACAACTTTTTGCAAGAAGAAAAAATTGAATCAGGATGAGAAAACTTGAATATAAATAACAGCCATAACGACAGTGAAAGCGGCACATCCAAGTATAATACGTTTATTGGTTTTTACCGTACAGAAATTTAGTTTAAAGCACATAATAGCAATGCTATTGTAGTAAATCCAATTTTTTTTAAAGATCAGTCTGGAAGACAGTGGTTTGCACCTTTTGGGCAACAACTATTAGAGCTTTTTGAAACTTAAGGCATCACATGAAACAGCGAATAAAATTCAAATAAATGAAAAGTCAAAAATATTCAAGAAAACTACTGATAGAATTTTAGTGAGAATTCGGGCGTGTATAACAAGCGAAAAATCAAAATTCACGAGTGCGCAATACCGATAGTACTTGGATTGAAAAAGTGACGGTCAAGTTTGAATTAGTAGCCATTTGGAGAACACTTGAAATCTATACTTGGAAGTAACCTAACGACCTTTTCTGCGTATCGATGATATTTTTGCAGTACTTTAACACGGCGGAATCTTTTTTCAACTTGATCTATAGCATGCCTACCTGCAGTTCCAGTCAGTAGCGACTAACGCAAATTTTTAAAAATTGCAACGAATGTTGGATTGTATCGTTATATAGAAATGATGGTAAGAACTAATATTAACCAGAAAAATTTATTAAGGATATCAAAGAATATCTTCAATAAATTCTAAATACATAGTTTATATGGACCATATTTGCATTAAAGGAAAAACTGATACAGACCATTTTGAAGACTTATGTCTTTTGTGTAAGCATTTAGAAAAAAGAGGGCTGCGGTAAGGCGAAAAACAAATGTGATTTTATTTAAGAGCGCATAGATGCTTAAGGTTTTATCATTGACAAGTATGGTTTACACAAATAAAAAATTAAGCTAAGAGTAATGTATGAAGCTTCTGCCACATCCAAAAGACATCAAACTGCTGATATCACTCCTTGAATTCATAAATTTTTTACACGCAAAAACAAACGCAACAGGAAAAAAGATACATAGAATAAAAGCTGCATAGAGTAGACAAAAATGTAGACATGGGATGGACAACAACATATACATACACAGCTGTAAATTAATATTTTTTTGTGTATTAATAGTGATATAAAAATAAAGAGATATACATAGATTTAGAGATGTCAAGAACAAAATAGTTTTGCAAAAAAGAAATAAAAAAAAATTAAGAAGTTACGCGGCAAATCAAAACAAGTTGTGACACTGTACAATGTTTTTAAAAAAATTCATTATATTCTTGAATCTAAACTAAAAATTTACAAAAGACGGTTTCACAGAAGTCGCTGTTCAGTTTTCTTAACAAATACACGAGAAATTCAACGCTATTATATTAGATAGTGGTCAATAAAACTAAAAGTACTTGAATAAATAATTTAAATTCAAGTCTTTTGGTAAGCTGTTTAAAAGCATTAAAAATTAAAAAAAAATAAGGAAATTTTAAAAGCGACAGAAAGTGTGTAACGAACGATTTATTTAAAACAGAATCCATTTCAGTGTATATAATCACTATGATGCGAAAGAAAAACATATGTAATTTAAATTGTAATAACAGTTTTTCAAAAAGTTTTAATGTAAGTTAATATGTAGGGGTAAGTGTACCTATCTCCGTGCTCTGCCCTATTACCGTGGATTTTGAAAAACTGATGATTACTTGCTCAAAATAAGAAATGTTTCATATAAAATAATTTTTCAATTTTAATAACCTAAAATGACGTTAATGTAGATGCAATTCAAACAGAAATATTTGTGTATATTTTGAGTAAATAATTATTTTTCACGGTATTCGGTACAACGCGCTCATTAACTGATTGTGTACGTATTTCCGCGGTGAGCGTACGTAAACATAACCCTATACATCCGCGGTAATACGTACACGGTAATAGGTACACAACCACGGTGATACCAGCATACCGTTTTTATTCGTTTTAAAAATATTCTACTGCAGTTTTAGATTCATAAAATTTTTTTAAATATTCCGTAAGAGATTATGTAAGATTAAAAAAAAAAAATATTCCAAAAAATTTTAGTATACCATTTTTTATGGTGCATTTAAGTTGGAATTTTCAGTACGTGCCACGGAGATAGGTACACTTACCCCTAGTATTAGTATCACTGTATTTAAGTGTAATGAATGCAGATCAAATAATTTGTACTTCACTAATTTTTTTTGAGAATTCAGTTGTAACATCTTGTAACAGTGTCACATCTTTCTTGCTATTACTGAATCTTTTTCTGATTCATTAGCGATTGCTTTTTTACTTTTTCTGTAAGATTTGAAGACGCACATTTTCCAAAAAACTTAATACCGTATCACGCTATGTTTTTGTGTTTCATATGACAGAATATGTACACAGTATTAATGATTTCACTACTACGACTGTAACTGATGTCATTGTACCTAATTAAGAATTTATCAAACTGTAATAAAACAGACAATAGAAAGCTACTTCACGACGTACATATGTTCTATATAGATCGTTAAGAAAAAATATTCATGAATCTCACCACATAAATTTGTAAATTTCAGAAACAGGCAGTAATCCAGTTTGACTATTTTTCAGAGCCATGGCTATCAGGCATGAATATGAATATGTTGGCTTAGGATAACATTTACGTTCGCATAAACTATTATAAATATCTTGTTCACTCTCGGCACAATCTCTTTGATCTTCTTTAAGAGTGTAAGTAGGTCGTGAAGATTTATGTGGTTTCTGTTGAGCAACTAGCCGAGATTGCATATTGCTGTTGCAAGTTTTCCTATGTAAGAGTTCAGTTTGCTCAAATTTTTGAACTATTTTTATTTTTTGTATTTCAATGTTATTTACTTTCATTAATTTTGATTGAGAAGAGTTATGTGCAGTTTCGGCTAACTGTGGTGCTAAAGATGGAATGAAGTTTTCTTCAAATAGAATAGTGGAATTTAGATTAGTTGCAGACAATTTTTTCAAAGATTGGCCATTTTTTCCCTTGTATTCTTCTTCATTTGCAAATTCTTCATTTTCTTCTTCTGATTCAGTAGCTTCATAAAAATCATCTGGTTCAGATTCCGATATATTTCGCTCTTGATGAAGACTCCAATTCACTGATTCAGGTGTTTCTGTTCTGTCTGAGGCACGTTCCATATCATTGATGCTAGCAACACTTTGTGATTCGTATACTTTATTTTTCGAAATCGATCTATAATTGGTCATGTCAGCCATCACCGACCTTGGATTCACCATTACTGCGTACGATAGGTCAAAACCAGCATTCATATCCAAACTGTAACATGAAAAAGGATGTTCTTTATTAGACACACTACAGAAAAATAAACGCATATAAAAAATAAGCTTCTTATAATGTATAGTGAAAATCAAATGTAAGGAATATTTTAAGGCAATGGCAAAATTTTCCCATGTGATTTTTCACCACGCAATGCTCCTCATGAAGGGATAGGTGACCTTCTCACAGCAAAATAGGCCTATCACTTGGATCCTTTGCTCTCGAGGTAGTCAATATAACATCATCAACGTACGAACGATTTACAACTGTATTCAATAATATAAAAAATGTAACCTATAATGTAACGTGTAACCATTACTTGTAATACGTAATGAATATAATGTAACAATGTGCCTTGTTGTAACAAGACTATTAGTTATTTGTGTGGGGCATTCCACACATTTCCCTACCCCATATATAATCTAAAATTCAACCGTTTTCATCGTTAATTTGATATTTCTAACTTTTTTCTGAAACCCCCTCACAGTTCCTCCACAGCCCCCTCACCATTTTTCTTGTCCCCCCACAGCCCTCCCGTACCATTTTTTTTCTTCTTACAACCTTTTCTATTAAGTATAAGTCATTCCTATTTTCAATATATTTAATTATAATTAGTTTTCATGATAATTCTTTTCATCTATTTTTCCATACTGCCAAGAAGGCAAATAGATGGACTGTATACAGCTTGATGAAATATAGAATTAATGTTTAATTGTGTATTAATAATAATAAATAATATACAAAAAACTGTAATGTAATTTTATCATCAAATTGTTTTAAATAATTAAATAGAATAATGATCTTAGTACATTTAACTTTTTTTGTGTTACTATTGCTTTAAAACAATGTAACACTCATCATTTCTTNTTTTACAACTGCAATTTTAAATACTAATGATAATAAAATTAACCAAATGTTTTACAAACAGCTATTATAATTTTTTTATAACATTTATACTAAGCTATTACATTATATTTTAGTAAATAATAAAATATTCATAAATATGATAACTTTTTATTTATTGTCTAACATTTTGGCGAATTATCTATAAGAATTATGAAGTGAAGTCAATTTATTTTGTAAAAATCGCTTTCCAAACAATATTTTCTATTTCTGTATTTTTTCCCTTTCTACTTGAATAAATAAATTATTTTTATTTTTGCATCTTGATAAGGCCACAGTTGATTGATCATGAGAAAATAAGGGTTTTCTTAAATACAAACCTACATTATCGAATCTTTAACCTTGAGATTTGTTTATTGTTATAGCAAAAGCCACAACGATTGGAAATTGTTAACGATACAAAATAAAACATATTGTTGAGATGTTTTCTGTGTCCAAGGTTATTCTTGGAATAAGGACTCTACGTCAAATTTTTTCTCCAGATATTATTTCTCCTTCTGTATTATACTGTAATAGTTTTGTGATTTGTAAACGTTGTCCATAGCGCAGTCCATCTGATATATTTAAGTTTCGATAATTAAGCTCTTTTACATATTGACCAAAGTTTAGAATCAGAAAATATATTATGTTAATGCCTCAATTTACCGACACCAAAAAAAATGGACAATCAAAAAAAAGATTCAGATGAAGAAATACGTTTTAAAAAAGAAATGTTTAACTCGATGAATGAAAGTTTAAATAATAACCAGAAAAAAATATTTAATATAGCTTGCGAACAAAAAAATAATATTTTCTTTATAGATGGTCCGAGAGGGTGGGGAAAAACTTATTTGTATGAATCGTTAATTAATTTTTTTTCTTCTTAACATAAAAAAATTATGTCAATTGCATGGATTGTCATAGCATCAATTTTGCTTTCAAAAGGGATGACAAGTCATAAAACTTTAAGACTTTCTTAAGATCTCAATAATATAGAATGCCTTTTGGAAATAAAGTCAGAAAAAAAAAGTTCAGAGAAGTTAATTTAATTATTTGAGATAGGGNTTACATTGTTTTAAAGCAATAGTAACACAAAAAAAGTTAAATGTACTAAGATCATTATTCTATTTAATTATTTAAAACAATTTGATGATAAAATTACATTACAGTTTTTTGTATATTATTTATTATTATTAATACACAATTAAACATTAATTCTATATTTCATCAAGCTGTATACAGTCCATCTATTTGCCTTCTTGGCAGTATGGAAAAATAGATGAAAAGAATTATCATGAAAACTAATTATAATTAAATATATTGAAAATAGGAATGACTTATACTTAATAGAAAAGGTTGTAAGAAGAAAAAAAATGGTACGGGAGGGCTGTGGGGGGACAAGAAAAATGGTGAGGGGGCTGTGGAGGAACTGTGAGGGGGTTTCAGAAAAAAGTTAGAAATATCAAATTAACGATGAAAACGGTTGAATTTTAGATTATATATGGGGTAGGGAAATGTGTGGAATGCCCCACACAAATAACTAATAGTCTTGTTACAGCAAGGCACATTGTTACATTATATTCATTACGTATTACAAGTAATGGTTACACGTTACATTATAGGTTACATTTTTTATATTATTGAATACAGTTGTAAATCGTTCGTACGTTGATGATGTTATATTGACTACCTCGAGAGCAAAGGATCCAAGTGATAGGCCTATTTTGCTGTGAGAAGGTCACCTATCCCTTCATGCGGAGGATTGCGTGGTGAAAAATCACATGGGAAAATTCATAGTAGTACTTGCTCGGGAGAGTCGCACTGGCCGGGAATCGAGCCTGCAGTCTCCCGCGTGCCGTCACACAGACCAGCCACCGAGCCATTGCGCGCTCGTATATATATAAAATATGGCCTCTCTCTACCTATAGTAATCTATATATACTGCTGAATGGTAGAAATCGTGACATGGCTGTAATACGTGCTTAGCTGGGTCTCTGTCACAGCTGAAGTACTATTAGGTAAATAATGCCTGACACAAAACCTCGCTTGATCTCTTCGAAGTCTTCGAAAAAACATAGTAAAATCGTTCTTCTTTCCTATATATCTTTTTATGTGTATATATGTGCGTAAATAAACGTGCATTGAGTAGTACATATGTTTAATATATCAACCAACCTTTAAAAATAAGAAAAAATGGTGTATCTTAAAAGGAAAGAGAAATTTGATAATGGGTTCTCTAAAGGAAAACAACATGATCGAAGTGCATCAATAGAAAGTGATTGGATTTTGCACGAACATAACTTAAGTTTTTACGTTTTTTCACTGTATCTTGAAAAAAACAAGTCCAAAAATTTTTCTATTTAGTATGGCATGTTCGAAAATTTCACACGGATGTTGACAAAATCTTTGAAGAATTTCTGTTACAATAAAACTTCTCAAACTTAGGAAAACAGTCTTATCTTGAAAGGAAAGCCAGCTAGACTAAACATAATGCCACACACAAAAAAAGATTATTGCGATGTAAAATTTTGTGTTACTCGGATTTATACAATAATCGGCTATAATTCTTAAAATAATATAAGCCATATCTCTCAGGCAAAGTTACGTCCTACAAGTTTTACCTATTAATTGATTTATTTTATATTCTCTTCTGTGTGTTATAAGAATAGTTGTAAAGTGACAAAAACCTATATTTTTATTATTAATTTTGATGGAAGTAGAAACTAGTTTACCACGCGTAAATTTATGTATTAAATAATAAATAACTATAGAAAACGAATTATATGAAACAATACAACTTTACAATGGAGAATAGCTTTGTCTATTGTTTTTCGAAATATCAATCGGATAGAGCGGATTATTTTACTTTTATGGTAGCTTAAATTTAAAAAAACCTTTATTTGTCTGATTAAATGATTCCAACAAGAACTTATTGTACCTATATGATGTCATATCAAATGCACGAATAGTAATTTTCAATACAAGGATTTTTGTCCCATGTAATGGGACAAAAGGACCTTCTTTTAGAGCAGTATGGTGAAAATTTGCGTTCTGAATTACATCACCAACAATTCATACATGTATGAATACATATGTAATATAGCATACACAGAAGTACTAAAATGCGTGAATTACGCGTAATATAAGTAATATGTTAAAGTATATTTATTTTATGCGCATGCGTGCTCAAATACGTAATAATATCAAAATATTAACTATTTTAATATCGGATTCTTAAAAATCCATTAAAATAAGGTGTACTTCAATTTTCTTAGTTTCTGTTGTACCGAGTTCTATAACACTCGAGTTGGAAATTTTACTTCTGCCGGGGGTTGAGATCCACACCTGGTGTTTTTATTTGTTTCTTTGTTTGCTAGAGTCATTGTATATTTTTACACATTTTTATCCGTAGTATGTTTCTTCAACGTTTAAAAGTAAAATTTTTATTACAGGCAAGTGCTACTTTGTATCCTTATAATCACTTTGGGCCTAGAAGGTATTTTGCCAGCCTAGAGCCAAAAGTGTGGCCATGGGAGCATAATAACACGTTGCATCCTCGCTAAAAAAAATTAGTCCTGCTGAGTCAATTTTCAACCTTAACTCATTTTTAGACAATAGAGTTTGAGACATTATTATTTTTCAAAATCTCAGGACTCATGAAAAAAATTTTTATTTTATTTTCTGAAGTTGATAAATTAAACAGAGATTAAACTGGCGACAATGAAACTTTGAATGTTGCATTTATCAATTATTTATTTGAAATCATCCGACTTGAGTAACGTTATTTTTCCAACACAGCATACTACTTTCACCAGAGATGATTAGAAAGAAGTTAGAATTAGTTAGAGGATTTTTTAATAATCACGATTTCAGGGCTTGTTTGTGGTTTTTAATAATCCTGTTAGTGCTTGAGAACTCCTTCAACAACAAGGTGAGAAGAAGCCAAATTTTTTGTAGGAGTATGACAAGGGAATTAGCGAAAAACGTTTCTTAGTGTACTCGACCAAAGGTTATTTGTATTATGCTGTTTTTTATTCGTACCCTCAGCAGTACGCACAAAAAAGGTTTTTTTTATGTAATTTATTAGAAGTAATAAGCTACCATTATATTATAAGCAT